TGGCGGCAGCGTGGGCACGGCGGGCGGGAGGTGAGCGGGGACCGGGAACGGGAACGGGACAGGGAATGGCAGGGGAAGGGACAATCTCTGCCCCTCCCTTCTCTGCCGCTGGGAGGGAAGGAGGGAAAGAAAGCAAAGCGGGAGGGACCAAGGAGCTCTGCCTTCTGCAGGGATGGGGGAAAGGAAGGAAGGAAAGAGCACAGGTAGATCCTCTGCTGCTGCTGAAAAGTGGGGAAGAAAGAAGAGGAAGGAGCTCTGATTGCTGCTGGAAAGGAAGGATGGATGGAGTGGGGTATTCCTGCTGCTGGGGTGAAAGGAAGGAAGAGAAGAAAAGGCGATCGCTCTGTCTGCTGCTAGGAAGGAAGGAAGGAAAGGAAATGGAAAAGGCTCTGCCTGCTGCTGGGAAGAGAGGAAAGGAAGGAGAGGAAGGAGCTCTGCCTGCTGCTGGAAGGAAAGAAGGAAGAGAAAATGCTTTGCCTGCTACTGGGATGGAAGGAAGGGAGGGAGGGAGGGAGGGAGGAAGGAAGGAAGGAAGGAAGCTAGCTAGCTACCTAGCTCTGCGTGCTGTTGGGATGAAAAGAAGGATGGAAGGACTGTGCTTTGCCTGCTCCTGGGGTGAAAGGGAGGGAAGGAAGGAAGCTGACAGGGTCAGGGTCTCCACTGCTGCCTCCTGGCCCTGGTGTGTCCCTGCCATGCACCTGCTGTACGAGGCCTGGAGCTCTTCCCTGGGCAGAGGGGGAAGGGATTCGGGTCTTTCCCAGCATCAGCTTCGGAGCATCCTAAAAGCTGGGGAATGTTAACAGAAATGAGAATCAGCTTTGCAGTTTTTCCCAATTCGGTATAAAACCCACAGCAAAGTCCAGGGGCCTGGGAGAAGTGGGGACTTCATCAATCTCCTCCATCCCCATCCCTGGAGGTGTCCAAGGAATTCCTGGAGGTGGCACTGAGYRCCCTGGGCTGGGGACAGGGTGGGATGGGCTGGGATGGATCTGGAACTGTGCAGAAGCCCCGCAGCTCCGCCTGTGTTTGATTCTCTGCCTCTCCCTTCCAGCCTCCCTGCTTTCGGCAGCTGTCCGCCACCGGAGTTCCCAGAGCTCGTCCCCACAGCCAGGGTAATGTCCCGGGTCACTTTGCCTTTCCCCCTGGAATGCTGAGCCGCTGCAGCAGGGTGGGCAGGGCAGCTGCTTTTCCCTTGGGAAGGAGGCTGGGCTGCCCCTTGGTCGCTCTGTCACTTCCCAATGTTTTGGACTCTGCCTGCCTTTCCACCTTTCCTGGAAGGATGCTTCCCTTCCTTTTTTTTTGTCCCATCCCTGGAAGTGTTCAAGGAGCAGCCTGGTCTATTGGAGGGTGTCCCTGCCTTAGGTTGGGACTGGATGAGCTTTAGCATCCCTTTCCGAGCCAAACCATTCTGGAATTCTGTGATAACTCTTGCAGTGTGACCCTCAGGCTTCCCTTTTTCCAGAGCTTTGGGAGCAGCTTGTGGTGCCTTTATTCCCTTTATTCCATTTCCTGTGCTGGGATCTCCTGCAGGACCGAGCTGCTGCTGGCTGTGACCAGGAGGGGACACTGCAGGAGCAGAGAATTCCTGCCGTGAATGGCAGGATGTACTGTTCCCTCTTCCTGCTCACTCTCTAGGATCAGGGCTCCTTGAATTTATGCCTGGCTGACACAGCACCCAAAATCCTCTCTAAACCCAGCGAGGCCTCGGTGCCTGTGCTCAGGTACTCCCAGAAACTTGGAATTCCTGTTGAATTAAGGCCCTTTGGGATGGTTTGCTGGGGGATACAGAGCAAATCCATCATTACAAAGGATTTTGCGTCAATTTTGCTGGTTTTTTTTTCACTCCACCTCATGTTATTCCCGAATATTTTATGCAGTGTGTGCATCCTGTGTTGCTTAGGCAAAATGTGGACTTGTGCATGTGGGAAAGCCGTAACTGCCCGGTCCCGATCGGGATGGAATTTGCTTTTTGTTTTGGGATGGTATTTACAAAATCTGCTGAATTTKCAGGTTTCAGAAACCACGAGCTTTGTGGTCATCTTGTGGAGTTTTCCAAGGCAAATCTCCCTCCTCTTTTTATAGCTAAGATTGGTTTTGTGCTGTTGTGGATAATCTGATGCCTTTTGGTTGGGTGTTTGTGAGCAATATCCGTTTCTTCTCCATCTCCTTTTTCCTTCTTTCCTCTCCCTGTTTTTCATCTCTTGGCAATATCTGTTTGCTGCAGTGCATTTTACCTTGTCCTTCACAGACTTGTTGCCAAAACTTCCCTGACTTCGCCCCCATGGCCTGAAGTGAAACTTCCAGACCCCATGGAAGAAGCCAAGTATCATGCAGGTAAAACGTCTCAAAGTCTCAGCATTGCCTCGAGGCTTTAGAGAGCATAAATGCCTTCAGCTGGAWGCTTGTGTTCTTAATTTTTATTTTTATTCTTAGAATAATTTAATTAATATATTACAATTTATGATAGACTCTTACTATATTTTATATATTCATTATAGTGAAATTAGATGTTAATTATACAAATATAATTATATGTTTATGAATTTATTATGTTATGATTTATACAAATATATACCCATGGATTGGTCCCATCCCCGAGGGATTGGTCCCATCCCCCATGGATTGAT